GACCTCCAGAGCTTTGACCATCTTCAGAGTCTGGCATATTTCCAGAGTCTGAATTGCCACCAAGATCTGGATTGCCATCAGAGTCTGAATCATTAGAGTCTGGGTCATCTGGGTCACCTTCATCTTCTGAGTCTTCTTCAGAGTTTGAATCAGTATCAGAGTCAGAGTCAATATCAGGGTTTACTTCAACTTCAGAAATTCTTAACTCTGGCCTTTCTTCAGAGGTTCTAACATCAGAATCAGATTGAGACTTATCCCAATTCCAAACTTCTGATTCCTTCACAATCACATCTCTGCTGAATTCAATTTTATTGGTTTCTGGACAATAGAGCTTGTTTGCACCTGTACTGTGGTACCCTATCAGAATCATCACTTTGCTTCTATCATCCAGCTTCTATCTTCTGGCTTCTGGAACATGTTTATAGCAAACAGAACCAAATACCTTCAGATGACTAACACTTTGCTTGTCTCCAGTCCACTTCTGCATAGGAACTATTTCCTTCAACTTCTTCGTAGGACATCTGTTGAGTACATACGTTGCAGTGGCAACAGCTTCTCCCCAGAGCTTCTGAGGAAGCTTCTTCTCCTTTAGCATGCTTCTCACCATATCAAGCAGAGTGCGGTTTCTTCTTTCAGCAAGACCATTGTGTTGAGGGGTATAAGGAGCAGTAACCTCATGCTCAATTCCATTCTTCTCACAGAACTTCTGGAACTCTTTGGAGTTATACTCACCTCCACCATCAGTTCTAAGAATCTTCAACTTCTGACCACTCTGATTCTCAGCCTTCATTCTGAACTTCTTGAATTCATCAAACACCTCGTGTTTGAACTTAATAAGGGATACCCATGTCATTCTTGTGAATTCATCAACAAACAACACAAAGTATTTGTTCCCTCCAATTGATGCTACTGGAAATGGACCACACACATCAGAGTGTACAACTCCCAAGGCATGTTTTGCTCTTGGAGCAACTTCTGATGCAAATGGCAATCTTGGTTGTTTTCCTTCCATGCAAACTTTGCATGACTTTTCAGGCTTCTTAATTGCAGGAATTCCATGTACCAATTTCTTTGAATTCAGATGTTGTAAGCTTCCGAAATTCAAATGACCAAATCTTCTGTGCCACAGCTCACTCTCCTTCTCAGTACTTGTTGCACTAAGACACTCTGAGTCTGCAGTTCTGACATTCACCTTGAATGTTCTATTCCTTCCTTGTTCTGACTCCATAATCAACTTCTGATTACAGTCATACAGCTTCAGAAGATTGTCCTTCATGGTAACTGAGAAACCTTTCTCAATTAATTGTCCCACACTCATCAGATTGCTTCTGATGCCAGGTACATACCACACATTCTGAATCAATGTTATTTTCCCATTGTTCAGAGTCACTCTGACATTTCCCATACCTTCTGCATTAAGATATTTGTCATCAGCACATCTGATCTTTGTTCTCTTTTCAGAGTCAAAGTCAACCAGCCATTTCTTGTTTCCAGTAAGATGATTTGAACAGCCAGTGTCCATATACCACCAGTCTGTCAGATCATCAGATTCAGAGGCCATCAATAGCACAGATTCGTCATCAGAACTTCTGGCTATATTTGCTTCTTCTGATTTCTTCTCCTTGTTTGACCAACAATCTCTAGCAAAGTGACCAAACTTCTTACAACAGTAACATTGGATCTTCTTCTTGTCATACTTCTCTTTTCCCTTCTGAGCATTCTTTTGTCTATCAGAGGTTGAGGTTTCTGACTTCTGACCACCATCAGATCTTCTCTTGGCTTCTGACTGCTTCTGATACCTCCTATCAGAAATTGCTTTCAGAGCCTGCTGCTCTACTTCCCTTTCAGAAGTTCTCTCAGTCAAACGCAACTCTTGCGCTTCTAAACTGCTCTGCAGCTCTTCAATTCTCATTGTGCTCAGATCTTTGGAATGTTCTATTGCTACCACAATGTAATCAAATTGAGGAGTAAGGGATCTCAATACTTTCTCCATGATTGTTTCTTCAGAAAGAGTTTCTCCACATGCCTTCATCTCATTAGTGATCAGAATCACTCTGGAGATGTATTCAGAAACTTTCTCATTATTCTTCATGTTGAGATTCTCATATTGCTTTCTCAAGGACTGAAGCTTCACCTTCTTCACTGATGCGTCACCACCATAACATCTCACCAGAGTGTCCCATGCAGCCTTTGCTGTTGTAGAGTCTGCAATCTTCTCAAACACGTTTACATCCACACATTGATGAATGAAGAACAATGCTTTCTGATCCTTCTTCCTTACTTCCTTCTGCGCGTTTTTATGTTCATCGGTTGCATCTGCTGCTACTGGAACATAACCATCAGTGACAAGATCTAGAACATCTTGAGCACCAAATAGTACACGCATTTGGATCATCCAACGATTCCAGTTTTTACCATCAAATACTGGAAGTTTGGTGTTCATGTTGCCGTTTCCGTTCATCTTCTACTTTGCACAATACACTCAGATTTCTCACACAGTGTTTCCCAACCCACAGAATAAAATTCTGATCAGATTTTGTTCAAGATTCAACACGAATCTAAGAATCAAAATCAAACACACAAGACCTCACGTTCACTCGTGTTTCCCGTGTTTCCCAATGAATCAGAACCGGAGCTCTAGATACCAATTGTTGGTGCAAAGATAGAATAATGAAAATAGGGAAATATTCTATTAAAGAGAATGACGGCAGAAGAAACAGGAATAAGAGTTACAATGATTGTCACCCTATTTATAGGCTAAAACTAGGGTTACTAGAATAAGATAAAATACTGAAATACCCTCTAACAAACTTATGGGCTTAAGAAAATAATATAATAAAATATGAATTATTACTAATAATCCTGCTGATCCTTGTCTGGATTTTTGGACTTGGTATGATGTTGCTCACGGGAAAAGGAAAAATGAGTGAGTGTATGGTGGTGGAGGGTATGTCAAAACAATCAAGCGGTGTGATAGAAGTTTCAAATGAGACTTAATGGTGGAGAAAGAACATCACATTCACCTATGTTAATCGATGATATGCTAGAAACTGTGAGAAACTTGGCGCAAACCGAGTCAGCAACAAGAAAGGCATAAATGGAAGAAATGAGGAGAAGACAGGCAGATATGAAGGAAGAATTGAAGAGGAATACAATGGAGTATGAGGAAGCAATGCGAGTTGCAAATGAGCGCGCACAGAGATTTGAATAATTTATGGCCTCGCATATGAATTAAAGTTTTAGAGGAAGAGATGAGGAAGATGAGGATGATGAGGAAGAAATTGATTAAATTTGTTGAAATATGAAACTTTTAATATATATTTTTTATTTTTATTTTTATTTCATCTATGTCATGAATTATTTTTATTTTAGTGGATGTGGATATAATTTATTTTTATTTCACTTTTAATAATAAATTATTTTATTTTCTAGCTTTATTTTACAAAATTTTAAAATGTCACAAAATTTAAAAATGCATATTTATTTATTATAATTGTATTATTGTAATTATAATAATATAATTATAATATTTTTTATATAATATTATAAATATTAACTAGAGGTTAATCCTCTCACAAATTCTAAAACGTATATGCATTTGTTAGGGGCTTAACCCCAAACAAATGCATGACACACTGGGCTAGGGGTTTTACCCCTCACAAAACGCAAAACGCATGTGCATTAACTAGGGACTTAACCCTTAGCAAAACAAACTGAGACGTCTGTGTCACTCTCTCTGTGTCACTAGTTTGCTCATACGCCTGCAGTGTATCAGACTGTATTTTATGAGTTGCATTAAGCGAGGGCTTATCCTCTAGCCGATTTTGCGAGGGGTTTATCCTGTTGCCATTTATTTGCGATGTCCTGTTTAGCTAGAGCTCATATTCCCTCGCAAATTTTTGTTTTGTGATGGATTTTTTGCATTAGTGAGAGGTTTAACCCTTAATTAAAAACACTTTTTCTTATAGTGTCCTAACCTTGAATGCACTACAATAGAAGTAGCGAAAAAATTTGAAAATGATGGAAATATAGCTTGTTCATGAGTTTTGTTTTGAGTTATGAGTACATTTTTTGAAATAAAATGAAGAAGGAATAAGGAAGATTTAATGCAATATATGTATCAAAAACATATGGAATTTAATCTCGATAAAAAATACGAAACTTAACCTCCGTATATTTTCACTTATGTTCTAACTTGGGTCTAAGACTTAACTTTAGTTGCATTTTAGATGCATTAGGATGTTAAATTCCATATTTGAAGGCATAGTTTTTTACTAACAGTGCGAAAAATAATCCCCTTCAATATTTGTTTAAAATCTAGTATTTTATAAAATTACTTTTGTTTATACCGGAAAAATAAAAACTGAAAGACTAATACATAGTAAAAACATATAATAAATACATACTAATATTAAAACAATATATATTTTTTAACCAAACCGTTAGAATACAAAAATATTATATGACAAAAAATACATTTTAATTACGTTGACACTACAAATATGTCACTCACTCATCATTTAACAAAAAAATCCATCCATCATTGACAATAGTTCGAATACAAAATTTAGATAGTAATCATAAAACACTGAATAATTGTGATGAAGTTGAAGTGTAACACAGCTTTTTTTATATTTAAATTTTGTTTTTGAATAATGAGAAAGTGGTTGATAACATTGATGAAAAAAAGATGAACTTAAAAACAAGATTCAAAGAAAAACTGAACATGTTATAAAGAACACTTTATCTCATAGTTAATATTCAAGTTATTTTTTAGGAAAAAAGTTTCAATTAGTTTCCACAGTGCACATATTTATATCTAACTTCCATATTAGAAAGAGTAAAGAAACAATATAATCCAACTTCCATATCAGAAAGAGTAAAGAAACAATATAATCCAGAATCTAAATACTTTTATTGATAGATAGATAATAACCATCAATAGTCTAGAAAACCACCGAAATAGTTAACAAAAACACATCGAACTTGTGCAAATTTTCTTAAATGCTATAACCCTGCTTAGATGTACCAATGTCAAGTCCCTTAAGCTTTGCTACCGACTCAACGCGTCCCTTCAGAGTATTCTGCTCCATAAGCCTGTAACACATTTTAAAAAATCGGCTAAGCGCCATCAAGAAAACATGCACAAACATCACATACGATATTGACACACAAACTCTAATACCTGGCAACTTCAGCGCGTTTCCTGGCTTGTTCCGCTATCTCTGAAAGCTCTCTATAGCTACTATTTTCATTGAAAAGTTTGGAGACAGCAGGCTGAAGACCCTGAACTGATCTATTTGCTGATGCCCATTGTGCTTCCCTTCCTTCTCTGCCATAGTCTTTCTTTGAAGTGAAAGCGATCTGTAATGAGAAAACATAAACACAATGGAACAAATATAGCTCCGAGTGCACGAGAATCCCACTAAATAGAGTTGGAAGCACTAGCCACATCGCTACAAGGTAACAACCTTACGCCAAAGCTAGGCCTCATTAACTCATTAGAAAGTGATAAGCAAAAAAATTACCCTGTTTTCAAAAACACTATTCCACGCCTTTCCACTAAGAATATATCGGATTGCGAACTTGAGTAAATCAAGAGGAATATAGGTTATCAAACTGTACAACCAAATTACGCCGGCCCAACCCCATCCCATTCCATTTATTCTTGCAAATTTCCAACCAGCATACACTGCTATTAGAGTTGCAATCTGTCAAATTACAAAACAAACTATTACCGCAACAGAAGAAAAATAATAGTGCTTAGCATTACATTTAGTACTAACGTGCATACGAGCATTGACGTGCCCGTCTTTCCGTTTTTTAAAAATAAAATAAGAAGTTTAAACTTACCAGTTGAGCAATGAAGAAAGCGCCTACAAGGAGAAAACCGGGTCGTTCGACGAAAGACCATCTTCGAGACCTAGTTACGAAAATTAAGGCCTGACTTATTATACTAACTTGTAGATATAGAGCTGCCATCATTTCATTAGGACTATGTCTCAAAGGCCTCACACCAAACTTGTCCTGCAAGATATTTAAGCGCTTAGCGTTTCGAATAATTGGTGATGATATTGAGAAATAAAAAACAAGAAATATAAGTTAATTTACCGAGAAAAAGTCGGTATCATGCATGGCCCAAAAAAATATGACAGTTGTTAGTGCCATGTAACTGCCGAGAACAATACCAGTTGCAAATATTTCCTTTAGTTTCCAACTGTCAGGCAGTGGAGATGGTTTCACTCTATCTTTTGAAATTGTCATGATGGTACCTTAATACAAGGTAGTGTTTTTTACTATGGTTAGAAAATGTAGAACTAATCTGAAGTAATGAAAATATTATCTTATTCTTACCATCATTCAGTATTGCAATGATCAAAACCATGAAAGGTGCAAAATCAAATTTCCAAATCAAAGCAATCAACATGAAACCGAACTGTCAAAATGAAAAATCAACGGTTATTAAGTATATTTATGATTTAAAGGTAACTACATAGAAAAAAGTCGCTAAATTCAACACATACCACAATACGGATGGTGATTGACACAGCATAAATCTGTTCCATAATCAAACATTTTGCGATTAGAAAACTAAAAATGTTACTCAGGTATTTTGTAGCACAAGAATTAGATATGCAAAGGAAACTAACAGTATAATTTTTCATTCTCTGGAAAATGGCCCTGCTGGTGAGCACAGCACTGATAATGACACTCAAACCAGGTTCAGTAAGGACAATATCAGAAGCACTTCTAGCGGCATCGGTAGCGTCAGCCACCGCAATTCCGATATCGGCTCTCTTTAATGCAGGAGCATCGTTTACGCCATCTCCTGTCATTCCGCATATATGCTTTCTATCTTGCAGCCTCTTGACGATTTCATATTTGTGTTCTAACATATCATATCATGATAAATATGTAAATGACTTTTAAGGTTAACTTAGTTTGACAGAGAACTTATCAAAAGGATGGAGCAATTCGACCGTCAAAACTTTTGACAAAACCAAAAATCAATGTAAACAAGGACATACCTGGAAACACTCCTGCAAATCCATCGGCCTTTTCAATCAACTCGTCAATAGGAATATCCGAAGTAGAAGCATCTTTGTCATGACCAAGCAATGCAGATGATGGATACATGTTTGTTCCCATTCCAAGCCTTCTACCAGTTTCCTTTCCAATAGCAAGCTGGTCCCCTAGAGAAAAACATAATCTGCAATTAATTTTAAAGCTACAAACATTGATTTATGGTATGAGCTGCATATGATTCTAAATTGTAAGTCATGTCACATTTACGGCTACCCTGTGAAATGCTTCTGCAATTGGGGTTGTGGAGACCTCAAAACCTTTATATTGTAGTCGCAGTTGCAGTTACATATCAGAATTTAGAACTACGAAACAAGAAAGTATGTCTTTGAATCTTACCTGTGATCATCTTAACATTCACGCCAAGATTAAGAGCCTGTCGAATTGTGTCAGCACTATCATGTCTAGGAGGATCAAATAGTGGCAACAAACCAACAAATTGCCATGGTGCACCAGGACTCTCTTTTGTTTTTTCAGGTACTTCCTGTTGCACAAATCATATGATAGGATAAAACAAGAGAATTAATTCAAGTAGAAAAATAAACATATATGATAATGATACTGTCTTTACTTACCTGATAAGCAACACCTAATGATCGAAGTCCACGCTCGGCAAACTTGTCTATCATTGCATGAACGCTTCGCCTCACGTTTTCTTTGCAGTTGCAAAGATCCAATATCTAACACAATATAAAAACATGACTTAGTTAGTCATCATCTTATAAATCATAACAAAGATACCACTAAGGCTTGAATGTTGTAAATCCTAAGATACCGAATTCAATTCCTACTTACAAAAATAAAATGAAACATCATAAAACGAAAACTCGTATTTACCTGCTCAGCCAAAGATACCACTAAGGCTTGAATGTTGTAAATCCTAAGATACCGAATTCAATTCCTACTTACAAAAATAAAATGAAACATCATAAAACGAAAACTCGTATTTACCTGCTCAGGAGCCCCTTTGCTTGCTCTATGCCAATTTCCTTCGGTATCAACATAGGTAAGGGCAGTCCTCTTATCAACGGGATTGAATGGCAGAAAATGTACCTCATTGATACCAGCTCTAGCCTGAACAATCAATCACAACCATTACAATTTCTATGACTAAAATGCTGATTTACTCTAAAAAAAGATTTATTTAGATTTTGATTTTAGATATTTACCTCTTGTGGATCAGACAGCATTCCAACAATAGCAGTATCTATAGCATCCTGATTTTCTATCCTAGAAGCTCTTGCTGCTAAGAGTATCACCAAATCCTTATCCATTCCCCTAGAAAACACTTCAATCAAGTTTCTATCAACACTAAGTTTATTCAAAGTGAGAGTTCCAGTTTTATCACTGCAAAGAACATCCATTCCTGCCATTTCTTCAATAGCAGTCATTCTCTTTGTAATTGCACCTTGCTGTGAAAGCTTGTGAGAACCAATAGCCATAGTAACAGACAAAACAGTTGGCATCGCAATTGGGATTCCTCCGATCAAAAGCACCAAAAGATTATCAATTCCGTCTCTATACTTGCGATGCTGAATCGGATACATCACAATGAGTTCAACGACTATTCCAACAGCAATTGAACAAATGCAGAAATTTCCGATAGCGGTAAGCACTTGCTGAAAATGCCCGACCTGGTTAGTACTATCAACCAAATGAGCCGCTTTACCGAAAAACGTGTGTACACCAGTTGCATACACAATCGCTTCGATCTCACCCTTCTTAACGGTCGATCCTGAAAACACTTCTTGAGTTGCACCCTTTGTGACAGGAAGAGATTCTCCTGTTAAAGCAGATTGATCAACACTTAAAGGATCTCCCTCGAGAAGACGCGCATCGGCCGGAATGATGTCTCCTAACTTGATGCTGATTATATCTCCTGGTACTAGAATTGCAGCATCTTGTTCACTCCATTTTCCATCTCTTAGTACCTAAGTTTTTTAATGGCCACAAAAAATAACAAATGTTAATAATAAATACGCGCAGGCGCACACAGACACACACCTAGAATAAGAATAGAAGAGAAGAGTAAATAAATATAACCTTGGCCTTGGGAGCTAAACCAGCCATAAGAGCGGCGGCCGCGTTACCGGCATTGTTTTCTTCGATGAAACTGATAGTTGAGTTGATGACCAAGAGAACAACGATTCCAACAAAATCTTGCCAATCTGGAGGCTTTCCACCTCCATTAGCCAAAGCAATGGCCATGATAGCAGCAGCTTCCATAACCCATGACAAAGGGTTCCACATAAATCCCAGAAACTTCAAAAGCTTGTTATCTTCCACCTCTTCCAGCTTGTTTGGTCCAAAGGCTTCAAGCCTGTTGGATCCTTCCTCTGATGAAAGACCTTCTCTCGAGCATTTCAGCTGCTCAAACACTTGTTCGATCGGAATCCGTTCCTACATTCACAACATGTCACGTCAGTTTTTCCATGCATGGATCATATATATTTCTCTTATCATAATCACACAAATTTATACTAAATTTTGAACTAAATTTATATTAATTCCATCCTCACAGATAAGATCTTTAGGTATATTTTATGTGCTGAGTTAAATCTAAGAAATAATTATCTAGGGTTTCAAATATGATTATAATAATGTTTAAAGAATCATTTATGATTAAAAAATCATAACTGCAGTTTTCATAAATGGGAATGAATCTATAAAAAATCATGCAACTAATAATATATATGAAAAAAAATTAAATATTTGATCTTATACTATAATAAACAACCTGATCAAATTGAGATAAATTGAAGAAAATATTCAATCTTATACTCTAATAAACAACTCTAATAAACAACTTGATTAGGTTGTGATAGATAGAAAGAAAACATCAAACATAATCATACCAAATTAACATTTTCGTTTCTTATTTCTTCGAGGTTGATGCTACTCATGGTGAGAGCGATCACAAGAACAATGAACACAAAATAATATATGAATCACAAAATAATGTGAATTATTATAAAATGATTTGATTCAGAGAGATTTAAAAGTAAAGAGTGGCGAAAAAGTTCAAAGTGAAATGTATAAATGAAATTAAAAAAAAAGAAGGAGACGGTGTTAAAAGATTGAGCCTTGAATTTAGGCTTTGCAGATGTGATTTGATTAGGAGTGAAGTGGTCAAATATTTTAAGAGTCTATTTTAAGGTTATTTTAAGGTTGTGGGCTCCACTTGATGTCATTTTTTCATTTCTTTCATAAATGTTATTAATTTTGTTTTTCTTTTAAAATTTTTTTTATTCTATTTTATATTACAAATGGCATAATTTATATAAAATAAAGGTATCAAGATCAAAATAAATAAATAAATAAAATCAGTGATATTTGTACCAAGTACATTGAATTATGTAGTCAAAATTTTGAACATTTTTTAATATACTTAGGATGTCATTATTTATTATTAATAAATGTTATATAAATTTTATTTTGTTAAAAATTTTAAATATTTAGGTTTTTTTGACATAGAAATATTTAGATGGTATGCAATTTTATTTTTGAAATATATATATATATATATATATATATATATATATATATATATATATATATATATATATATATATATATATATATATATATATATATATATATATATATATATATATATATATATATATATATATATATATATATATATATATATATATATATATATATATATATATATATATAAAGAAAATTAGAAAAGTAAAAAAAAAAGTTAGAAGAGAGAAATACCAAATTAACGTTCTCCTTTTTTATTTCCATGAGGTAGACGGTGTTCATGTTGAGATGACCATAGGAACAACAATGATAGACACAATAAGATGTGAATTTTTATAGAGTGGTTTAATTTGAGGAGATTGAAGAGTCATGGTAGAAGTGAAAAATAGCAGGGTAAAATTTGAAATAGGAAAATAATTTTGAAGTAGAAAAAGAAGAAATTTAAAAGATTTTCCTTTAGGGCATGTGTGATGTAAAATGAAGCCGTCAAATATTCTAAGTATTAGGAAATTTTTTAGCCATAAAACGGGTTAGGTTCAAGGATTCCACTTTCGTAAATAAATATTATTAACATCTGTTTTTATAAAAATTGTTTTTATTTTATGATTTTATATTAGCATATTTATAGTAATTGAAATATGATATTTATAGTAATTGAAATAAAATCTAAGAATATTTTATGTCTCTATCTCATATTTGTTTTAGATGCCGAGAGGTGTTCAGGGGCTGATTTTATTCGGTTTTGAAAGAATATGATTTCTAAAACAATCAAAAATATATATAATTGATTTGGATTGAAATTGTAGATTTTTATGATAAAATTCAAATTGAAAGTAATTCAAAAAATAGCATATTGGTTTGAATTGAATTGGTCGATTATATTATAAACAAATAAGTAAAATATTTATAAAAAAAAAATCTAATTTACATATAAAAAATTGAATCAAAGGAAGATTGTATTAATTCAAAACACAAAATACTGCACGTATCCAACCCTCAAAAAAGACAAAAAAGATGAAAAATGGAAACTAAAAAATCATCAACTTTACTATGTGTGTCCTAAGTTTCCTACTATATCAACCCCTACAAACAATCAAATCTATAATATTATCCATAATTTTAGTCTTATCTACAATATTACCATAACTAATATGGTACTTTTACACACCATAGACAGTCTTCGTAGCAAATGGAGGATCTCCACCTTTTAGCTTTGCTACTTTTTCTCAACCACATTAGTTTCTCATCTCAAGGTTGTGGAATGTGATTAACTTGTATCCCTTCAAGATTTTTTCCCCCAAATACAGACTTTTTCAGGACAAATAAAATGCAAATGATTAATAGATCCTCCTCTCGTGTGCACAAAAATAGCTATATTATTAGAAATCATATCAAAACGAAAAATGTGTTGTTTCGTAGCCAATCTACCATGACACGCAAGCCACATAGTCATCAGTGCTCTAGGTCTAACAACTTTATAACATAATGATTTCCTTCAATTAACTTGTGGGGGTATCTTTACACATCACGTTGTATACATCCTTCATCTTAAACTTATTACTACTTAGCATATGATCCCAAACCGCCCGAATATCACCCAAAGTGGCCCTTTGTTTGAAGATGGTCTTCATAATCTATGAGTTATGGCTTTTGATGCTAATATTCATCAAATCCTCATGTTTTAGATAATACATATGTATCTGTTTGACCTACAAGCTATCAAACTTACCACTGAGGTTCTAGAACAACTTCAACATAGTAATTTTATTCCAAATTTTAAGGTCAATAATATCTAAGCATCCATAGTCTCGAGGTCTACAGACATTATCCCAAATAATAGGGCTTTTTATACTGATATCAGAGTCACCTGCCCACAAGAAAGATCTACAAATAGTTTCAATTTTATGAACAACATATTTGGGGATAAGAAAGCATTACATCCAATAGTTCACAATGGCAAAAATAACACTTCTGATAAGTTGAAGACACCCTACATAATTAAGAAATTTAGTGTTTCAGTGATTAATTCTATTTATTATTTTATCAATAAAAGGAATGTAATGATGGATGAATAATTTTTTACAGGTCAAAGGAACCCCCAAATACTTGAAGGGGAGTGGTCCCTCTGCAAAAGCAATAAGGTTCATAATATCTTGCCTTGTGCTCACATCCACACCCCCAACATAAATTCTACATTTTGTCGGGTTGAGTTTGAGGCCAATGGATGCAAAAAAGGTGTTGAAAGCCTTCATCATAAGATCAAGTGACATGTAGTCTCCTCTCGAGAATAAAAGCAAATCATCTCCAAAAGAAAGGTTAGTAATGTGAAGCTTTTCACACTTGACATGATGGTTAAAATTAGGATTCCTCTACATTTAGCGTAGGCACCTGTTCAGATATTCCATAATAATGACAAATAATAGAGGAGAAATAAGATCTTCTTGCCTGATACCATGTTTGGCCTGGATAGGACTCGTATGATGCCCATTAATGTTGAACTAATATGTAACAGAAGTGACACTAATCATGACCCATCTAACAAACTGATTTGGAATACCTATCTCCTTCATAATACATTCCAAAGCATCCCAGTTAACCATATCATAAGCTTTTTGGAGATCGATTTGAATCATACAACGAGAAATACCTCATTTCCCAGAATATCCTTTTATCAATTCATAGGCCAATAGAATGTGATAATGAATTTGTTCGCCTGGTATAAACTCAGCTTGAGAATGATTAACAATATCACCAATAACCTTTTCCAATCTAGTAGTAAGGATTTTCAAAATTACCTTGTATACAGTGGTACAACCTGCTATTGGTCTATAGTCTTTAATGGTTCTAGCATCACCATGTTTTGGGACAAGAGTTGTTATAGTGGCATTGAAGGCTTTGAATAGTCTCTCATGATAAAAGAAATTCTTAGTTGCATTCACCAAGTCAGATTTTATCATATCTCAACTACCTTTAAAAAACTGGGCTCCATAACCATCTATCACCTGCTATTTCAAGTCCCCGATGCGTAATAATGTCGTATGATTCTCTTTCTCACTAATGGGATCCAAAAGACTCTCACGTTGAGGCATGTCCAAATGTGTTTCACCCCTCATAGCAGCCAAATCAATGTGGAAAAGACTGCTGCCTGTCGTGCCTAGCAGGTTGGCATAGTAATTTACATAAATTTATTTTCTATAATAATATAAAATATTTAATTTTTTTGTTTCTCCATTGCGAATGTCATAAATGACATTTTTTCCCTTAAATTAATTAACATCAAATTTCATTGATTTGACTCAATTTTTGTCATAATAATGATTATACTAATTATCATGCTAACGATTATATAAATTCTACGAATTAATTATGGTTGGTTCACATAGACGGGTTATTAGGTAGAATTTTAAAAATTTATTACCCAAACTAATTAACATTGAATTTTATTGATTTGATTCAAATTTTTTCGAAACTTAAAAAAATATCCGACCCAAATTATATAGTTTATTTTGACTTCCGATTTAGTTTAAATTTATATGAACTAATGAATATATATATATATATATATATATATATATATATATATATATATATATATATATATATATATATATATATATATATATATATATATATATATATATATATATATATATATATATATATATATTCAAAAATTAATGTGTACGAAACAAATTGCATACATATTCTATAATAATGATTCATGGGATTAAAGGTAATGCGTAATGGGTTTAAGGTAAAACTTAAAACTAAATTCTTTAACAAAGTATAAATATTTTAATAAAGTTAATATATTTTAATTTTAGATTTTTAGGATGTTAATAATTTATTAAATTATTAGAATGGATTTTGTTTAAACATTTTTTTATTCAGTTGATGATAAAATTAATTTATTTAAGCACTTTTTCACCCCTTTTGAAAATTTTATTAAAGATAAAGCTTTTTCAAACTTTTTTTAAAAACTTAGATATTAAGTTTTCTATTATGGAATAAAAGTTAAAAGTTTGTTATTTATGAGCTTGAATTTTAAGTTAATTAATGATATAATACATATGATAAATAAATGTTACTGTTTTCATAATAAATAAATTTTATTAATGATATAATACATATGATAAATAAATGATAGAAGAAAAAATCGAGGCTCTAGGACCGATTCTGAGTGTATTGTCAGTGTAAAATAGTTTTGCATCTTCATTCAATAAAATTTTATGATTCATATGTCATGTTAGTATTTTAAAAATTAAAGTATGATTTGGTAGGATACACATGTTAGAATTTTTATCATAAATGTAACATTTAATGTGTTATTGTCATTATTTTAATTAGTCAAGACTTAAAGGAGTTTAATTAATATAATATTAAATTTGTGACTAAAAGTAAAAATGTCATG